GAGACGCCGCCCTCCCGCAAGCCCTGTGCAGCACGGTGGCCTGGCTGGTCACGATTGGGGCATTCGAGGGCTCTGAGAGTCCGTCGGGGCAATTTTCGTGGCCTCCGGAGTGGTTTTAGACACCCACATGAGAAACCACGGAACCACGCTTTCTGAGATTTGACCCTCCGCTGTGGGCTCCTACCTTAATACCAGGCCCAGCTGTCACTTGCTCTCATGGAAGGAGAGGGACTTCAGTCTTAGGGTCCCGGGCCTCTGACCAGGACGGAACACCCTGGGGTGCTCCCTGGAGGAGTCTAAGTAGAGCAAGGTTTTCCTCACCCAGGGCTGCCTGTGGTGGTGCCAGCCTTCTCCCTCCAGTACTCTCCCCCTTTCCCTCCTGCTTCTTTGCAGACCTACCCTGGCGTCCCCACCTCCAGGAAGTCCTCTGCGATTCCTTTTTCCCTGCAAAATGGACGCAAAGTCTTTCAGGCCCTGTTCCTGGTGCTCCTGGAGCACTTTTCTCTACAGAAGTCTCTTGCCTGTGGTGCCTCCATGGACACCAGACTCCTGGCTCCCAGGGTCTGGGTCTTTCTTACCTTCTCCCGCCCCAGAACAGCCTTTGAGGAAGGCATGTGGGTCCACGCAGTGACTTCAGCCCAGCCAGGCAGGGAGGATTTGGGAGGGAAGAGAGCTGCTGGTGAGGGGGTGCACGGGGACACCAGCCGGCACAGGGGTCCTTGGATGCTTGCAAGCGACGCTGACAGCGGTGGGCCTGCCTTTCAGAACCAGGAGAAGTACCTGCTGCCCTTCCTGTCCCTGCAAATCATGGACTACCTCCTGTGCCTGCTGACCCTGCTGGGCGCCTACATCGAGCTGCCCGCCTACTTCAAGTTTGCCTCCCGGAGCAGCCGGCCTGTGAGTCTGCACAGGCCTGGGTTTGGCGGGGCTCAGGCCAGCTAATCCTCCCCTTAGCTGGGTGGGTCTAAGAAAGTCCCAAACCCCTTCAAATCACGCCGAGATTCTTACTTTTCTGCTTGCGACCACATCGCCCTGTCTCCGAGGCCACATGGAGGCTCAGCAGGGGCCCAGTAAACAGCAGCTGGGGACAGCACCGGCTGGTTGCCGCCCCTGGCCCTGCCTTGTTCCTCCTTTGTAACCAAGTTGAGGAAAGGGGGGGGTGAGGATGACTAAAGGCGGAGGCGAGCCCCCAGAGGGAAGGTCTTGCTGGCTGTATAAGCCGGACATGCTTCTCTGACGGAGAAGAGAAGAAGAGACGGAGGAGATAAACTGCAGAGGCTTCCGGGCTGGGAGTCAGGAGACCCTGGCTCTGGTCCCCGGCCTGCTGTTGCCCCTTGGTGTGAACATAGGGTGTCTGCTCTGCCTGGGTTCAGGGGGAGTCGCTGGCATCGCTGGCTGAGACAGTCTCTTAAATTGAGGGCCCAGTGTGTGTCTCTCTGTAATGGGGCCTCTCCTTTGGGCCTTACCTGCTTTCTGTCTGCCTCTTGAGGGCCCCTCCAAGATCCCACTGATGACCCTGCAGCTGCTGGACTTCTGCCTGAGCATCCTGACGCTCTGCAGCTCCTACATGGAAGTGCCCACCTATCTCAACTTCAAGTCTATGAACCACATGGTGAGTCTGGGCCAAGATCTGCCCCACCACTGGCTGTGTGGCCTTGAGCAGGTTGCTTGACCTTTCTGTGCCTCAGTGCTTTAGGCTGGGTTCCCTAGATGTAGGAGTAGCTCTCTTGTGCAGATGATTTGTTGAGCAAGGGCTCCTAGGAAGGTTGGAAGGACTGAGGGAAGCAGGCTAGATGAGGGAGGAAGCCTTCAGGAGCCATGAGCCCACTGTGTGAATAGCATTGGGGAAATCTCCTCAGGGTTTATTCCTGTTTAACCAATTATCCCCAAATATAGTGACTTAAAACAATAGCATTTATCATCTTGCACAGCTTCTGAGCATCGGAGCCCAGCTGGGTCTCCTTTGAGGTTGAGGGTGGGGTGGCCAGCTTGGAGGGCTTCATGGGTTCAGAGGTCCACTTCCTAGATGCCCTCTCGCTTCAGTTCCTCCTGTGTGGGTCTATAATAAGGCTGCTTGAGCTTCCGCCTGTCATGGCTCATGGATTCCTCCAGTGAGAAACCCAGAGAGCTTGACAGAGGGAAAGAGCGAGAGAAGAGACAACAGCTGCCGTGTCTTTTAAGCTTTGTCTGGAAGGTTGTGCTCGTCTCTGCCATATTCTGTTAATTGTGAGAACTGAATCCCTGTCTGCCCACCTTGAGGGGGAGGTGTGGGTACCACATTTGAAAGGAGGTCTGTCAAGGAACAAGTGCATGTATTTGCAAGTAGCTCGGAATTGTACCACTGGAGCGGCACCCTCCTGTCAGCCAGCTGCTGCTGGGAGCTGTGTGGAGGGGAGGGCTATACCTCCCCCAGGTATTTCAGTGTTAGGTGGTTCCTATCAGCCCACACCTTGTTCTGGAAAGGGTTTAGATAGTGCCCACCATCAGTTGGGTTGGGGTGATGTCCAGGTCAGGGTAACCCATACCACATCGGCTCTCCGGGTGCGCTCCCCTGTTCCATGGCTGATGGCTCTCACAGGCCGCTCGGTGTGAGAATGGCCACATGGAACTCCTGCCTGGTGTGGAGAGCTGGCTTATCACTGAGTGGGTGCTGTTAGAGTTCTTTATGCTAGAGCACTGATGTGACCCCCAAATCTGTTGCAGAATTACCTCCCTAGCCAGGAGGGCTTGAGTCATAACCAGTTCATTAAGATGATGATCATCTTCTCCATCGCCTTCATGATGGTCCTCATCCTGAAGGTAAGTGGCCCCGTCCCAGGGCTCAGGAATATGGGAGGAATGCTGTCCTAGGCCCACCAAAACCAGTCCGCTAGCTCAGTGTGACTCCTACTGCTTTTAGCTCCTTATTCCACACTGGTTTCTCTGGAGACACTTGGTATCCTTGGGGACACCCTATTTAAAGGGAATGTATCTGCAGAGTCCACCTGCATTCAGGAGTCGGGGACGTAATGTGTAACCCAGAGATCCAGGGGGAAGGATGAGCCACTCTGTCTGGAATTAGATCCAGAAAGTCTGGGGCTTGAATCCCAGCTTTTTCCTCACTGGCTGTGTGACTAGTCTTCAAGCCACTTCTCTCTGGATCTTGAGTTTCATCTGTGAAAGGGACATGATAAGTCCTGCTTTGCCCATGTCATAGGTTTATGTGATTCAGGCACCAAAATATAGATGGGCCCTGCGGTAATATTACTAGAGGCTTGGTGTTAGGAAAAAGGGAGGGGAATGATTTTATTCTTCTCTGACCCAGAGCATAGAGTCTAAATCAGGTCCCAGTTCTTAGACAGATGATAACAGACTGGAGTGAGCTAATAATAGCACAACAAGGAGAGTAATGAGGAAAGAAAACTGCTGTCTGCGGGAGCCAAGGCAACTAGGGGTTTTCAGCTTGGAAAAGAGATGATTCAAGGGGACACAATCATTGTCTCAAGTAGCCAAAAGAGTTTCACAGGAAATTTTGTGAGATTCTGAGACCACAACTGGGCCCTGTGACCTACAACCAGACAAGGCTGATGTAGACTCAAGAGCAGCAAGAGTTCTTGAAAAGCATTCTTTTCTGATTATGAAAGTAAGGGTTGACCACTGTCAAATCTAGAAACTACAGATGAACAGAAAGAATACCACCAGCCCACCAGCCACCACCACCCAAAGCCCACCTGTGATGTCAGGTGTATTACCCATTAGTCTTTTTATGCTGGTGGGTGTGACCAGACCTTCTTCTATCAGAGGCCCTGTGGTGTCTCTCACCTACTGCCAGCCTGAAAACAGCTTCAGTCCTTTGCGTCTCCACAAGAAACTGATCGAGTGTCAGCACATTTGTGATGTGTGAAAAGAACTTTCCTGAAGCCGAGGAGGAAGCCAATGAAGGGCTTTGCATCACATACTCTTCCAGAGAACAATGTTCTGAACCCCAACACACAATTCTGCCTCCCAAGCCCTCTTCCTGTTCCTTATCTTTCTTGGGTCAGGGGTCTCTCTGCCCCTCACTCTGCCTTCCTGGACACTCTCCTCCTGCTTGATTTCCTCGGACCTTCACTCTTCTGTTATTTCTGCCCAACTAAGTTCCATCCTGGGACTCCATAAAACAAGAGCCCTTCCAGTGACAGGCTCTACTCGCCTTCCTTAGGCGGCTATTTGGGGCCAGAGAGAGGACTTTTGGCTAATATTCCTTGAAAATGCCCTAGGAACTGTTCTGCCTGCCCTGGGAATTTCCCCAGTTCCTACATCAACCACTAAGACAATCAGCTGCTTACATCCACGGACAGCTATATGCAGATATATTTGTATATATAATTTTTCTGTATTTACAACCATGGGATAATACCAAACACACTGTTTTATAATTTTCTTTTAAAAACAATATGCCATGGGCAATTTTGAAAGAGAAGTTTCCCACTGTCAGCTCTGTTTGAAGATGGGTGGGGTCATCTCAGGAAGGTCCCAGTCCCTGGGGACAGGATCTACAGGACCATTCCCAGGGAGCATAGGAAGCCTGGAGAGCCCTTGAGTCTTTTGGGACTGAAAAGGGCAGTACATTGGATACCTGGACCTGGCAGGTGAGGTACCCCCAGTCAGAATAGGGGTCTGAGCAGTAGCAGTTGAATGAGACATTCTGGATGAGCTGGGGCTACCCAGGAAGCATCTGGCATCTGTCCCAGGTCTCAGGGGGCAGTGCAGCTGACTTGGGTCTTTTTCTAGGTCTACATGTTCAAGTGTGTGTGGAGATGCTATAGACTCATCAAGTACATGAACTCGGCTGAGGAGAGGAGCTCCCCTAAAATGTTCCAGAAGGTGAGGTTGGCTGATACTCGTTCATGGTGTCATTTGAACAAGCCTCTCTCCTTTGTTGGCCTCAGTTTCTCCACTTATAAGATGGGGGTTGGACCAAAAGAAATGTAAAGTTGTTTAGGGTTCTGCTTATTTATTCATGCTTTCAAGGAAGGCTTCCTGGAGGAGGTGACACTTGACCAATCCTTAGACTGTCAATTGGTGCAAATTAACTGGGAAAGGTGAAAGGAGCTTTCTGCTCGGAGGGATGAGGTGCTCTCAAACGCAGCTGATTGGAGAAGTGATGGGAGAAAGGTAGCTGGTTTATATCACTTACCTCTTCTGTAAAATAGGAATTGTATTAATCACAATTTTTTGGGTTGCACATGGCAGAACCCAACTCCATCTGACAAGTGAAAAAGGGAATTTATCAGCCCACATAACTTCAAAGTCCAGGGTAGGTCTGTCGCAGGCTGGCTGAGTCCTGATGGCAGGACATGATCTCACCTCTCCATCATGCCCTCTGTGCTGGCTCCACTTCCAGGGAACTCTGCCCTCGTGGCTGCAAAACAGCTGCCAGAACCCCTAACCGACATCCCACCAGCGATCCCAACAAAGTCAAGTCCCAGGAACAGATCTGACTGGACCAGCTTGGGTCTTAAGCCTATTTTGAAGGAGGTGGAATTCTAGTTAGAATGGCCAACCCAAGTCACAGGTCCACCCTGGATCTGAGAAATAGAAGTAATTCTTCCAAAAGCATGAGGACTGAGAATGCTTTCCCAGGGGAAATCACCCTGCACAGTCATCACGGTGATCAAAACGGGGATTGGCACTGAGCTGGCAGAGGCCAGCCTGCTCTCTGCAGGGGCAGACACGTGCCTGTCGCGAGCTGGCACAGAGCAGGTACCCAGCGCGCCGGGGGGAGCCCCACGGTGTCACTCGGCTGGAGGCGTGAGTTGAAGCCCCTTGACCCTAGGTTGGGACCATCCTTTCCGGCAGTTCTCAGCCCTCCTTTCTCCGTCTCTCCCAGGTGGTCCTGCCATCCTATGAGGAAGCCTTGTCTCTGCCGTACAAGACTCCCGAGGGGGGCCCGGCGCCGCCCCCGTACTCAGAAGTGTGACGCTCCAGGCGCCAGCTGGTGCCGGGAGGGGAGGGGCGGAGCTGCGTCCCAGTCTGCTTCTTTGCTTTGGGGGCCCTCTGGCCTGGATGGACTACCCAGCTGACTTCAGGACAATCTGCCGTGTCCCCTCGCTGGCCTGGGAGATGCTCACAACTGGGTCAGCCCTGTAGGCTGAATGACTCCTTGAGTCGCCCCCAAATTCATCCAAAACACCTGGCTTGTTTTGATCAGCTCTAGCATTTGTTGAGACAATTGGTCCTTCTAAATTTACTGAGTCCGGTGGAGCAGCTGTCGTCTTGACCAGTTTAACCATGTGACCGACAAATCAAAAACACACTTGTCAGTTCAGTTGGGTCAACCAGCAGCAGCCCTCACATGGCTTGCGAATAGTTGTTCTTTCTCACAACCATTCCGCCAGCCATCACCATGGCTCTGCCCCGCCGGCCCAGCCATTCGATTTCCTCAAACAATGACCAAGCTGGCCAACCCAAGGTCCATTTAGAGCGTGATAAAATTCAATCATAGAAAAATCAAATCAGCTTCCAAACTCTCCGATTCAATCTAACCCAATAACCGACCGCTCCTCTGATCAGCTCGGTCGTCTGAGAGGCTGAATACTTGTTCATTTCAATGAAAATGTCAGTCAGTTGCCGAGCCCCGGCTCACGGGCTGGTTCCCATCCGGTGGCATCCATCATCCCTTGGCCCTTCAAGCGCGAGGTGGCGAGCTGCCCTCCGTGACACTGCGGGCGGTGCAGTCCCACTGCCGAGCGCGGGCCGGACGGGTCTGGGAGTCCACCTCCGATTTGCTCCTGGGCAGCTCTGCTCTGCCCGAGGCTGTTTAAGCAGAGGCTCAGCCCTAGATCAGATGAATCCTTCGCTGGACTGAGGCCACAGCCTAGCTCACCACCGCAGGCCGCCTCTGGTGGGAGCAGACCTGCTCCAGCCTGGGTTGGGTGCGCAGAACCGAAGGCCCGTCACCCCTTCTGCCCACCGCCCTCGGGGTGGCAGTCCCTGACCCAGCGAGGGATAGCGGGCAGGCTCTCTGGGGTCTGTGAGGGGGTGGCGGGGGAGGGCTGTGCAAGAGGGTCCCTGCCAACACTCCTTCTGTACTTGCTTTGTGTGTGATGGGGAGGAAGTTTCAATAAAGCAGCAATACGCTTCTCTCCAGCGGCTGTGGTTCCTGAAGTACGGGGTGGGCGGGGCTGAGAAGCAGCCTATCTCCGCCACCTCCCAGCGCTACTCGCCGCACACCACACCCCCATAACGCGTGCACCCCCACATCCATCTACGCATACATACACACATACGCACACCACACACAACATATACACACACACCACACACACACCACACAACATACACAACATACACACCATATACACACCCCCATACCACACTACTGCCCACAACACATGCACCCCGCTACACCCCACATACGCATACCCCCTCCCACATACACACACCATACACACAAACCCCACACCACACCCCACAACACATGTACCCCTTCCACCCCACATACACATACCCTCCACCACATACACACATCACACACACTGTATATACACACACCACACACAAACCATATTCACACACACCACACCACACACATACTGCCCTCCCCCTCCACAACTCAGTAATAACACATACACCCCACCCCCCAATTCATGTGCCACAGGCACCCCACATACACGCACCACACATTTACCACATACACACACCAAGAATATCCCCCCCCCCCACGTCACACACCTACGCACTGTTTGTTGAATCCAGGAAATCACAGGGGCCACATCCAGCTGTGGGATTCATGATCCAACGTCCCATCGTGAATCATGGCACCTGAGCCCCTGAAGGTCCCCAGAGCAGGGGTGAGCTCCACCTGCACGGGGCCAGGTCCAGCACTGGGCGCAGGGGAGATGGCATTGGATCAGACTTGGCTTTAGTCACCCAAGACCTGGGGCAGTAACACCAGCCCAGGCCAACCTCACGCTGGGGACAGTGCGCAGGACCTCAGGCAGCCTCGGAAGGCTTCCTGGAGGAGGATCCACGGGGCAAGGCTGAAGGGCGGATGGACAGGCCGAAGGGCGGTAAGCCACGTGGGCAACGCAGCAACAAGCTTGAGGCCTTCTGGAGGTCAGGGAGAGTTGCTGGTGTGGGCATCTGGGTGAGGCTGCAGGCAGCGGGTGCGAGGGGAGGCTGGCCAGGTTTGGGGGCCAGGGTGGTGATGAGTCTCGTATGCATGTTTTGGGCATTTACAGGAAGGAGCTGGTTGCAAGTAACAGAAATCTTAGTGAGCCATGTTATTAAAATAAAAAACGGTGATCATGATGTTTCTTGACTGGCATAAATGAAAAGTTGAGGTGTTTCTGGTCCCACTGGTGGCTCAGGAATCAACATTAACCTTTCTTTTCTGCTCCCTCTCTTGCCTTCTTCCTGGCTCGGTTGCTGAGAGCAGTCAACAGAAAGCCTGGCAGCTGGGTGGGCTTTGGTCCGTGGGCACCTGGCAGGGCCTCGAGTGTCCTGTCGTGAAGCACGACTTAGCCGGGACAGAGTCTGAGGAGTCTGGGCAGGGCCATTACAGGGTCAGGCAGGGTTTTTAAAGGGACCTAAAACAGGGACGTATAGAAGGCAGGCGGAGTCCCGTGGGGAAGCAGAGAGGGCCTGGATGTAAAGGGTGTTATCAACCTTCTCCCCTCAAAAAAGGTAACAACCTTTTTTGTTGTTAAAGGTTGTTACCTTTTTTGGAGGGAGAGTAGATTTCCTCACGGATTCTGTCTGTTTTTTTTTTTTTTAATTTATTTATTTGTTCATACAGAACTAGGGTACAGGTCAGAGGCTCAGGGGCGGTGAGAGGCTTCACCAGAGACAGAGTGGGGAGCAGAACAGGCAGATGG